GTGTTTTCATACAATACCTTTTACATATGTTTTCAACTCTGATTTAACCTATACTCAGAGCTGATTTAACTAACACTCTGTTAGGAATCGAGTTTGTGTGGTCTGTTTGTGTTTTTCCTTTTCTCCACCACCAGGAGGTGCCTTGTCCTCATTGGGCCTCCCTGCACACCTGCGGCTTATTGGACCATTATCTGGAGGAGTATTTGAGCAGTGGGCTGTCACTACCTCGACGCCAGAATGTTTGCCAGTTTTGGGTGCTCTAGCCAAGCTGAGATAAGCAGAGTCTAACCTAAGCTTTGTTTCTCTGAGACTTATGTTCTTTTGTCTTTGTTCTTCGGCAGGAAGACTTCCCGTTTTACTGGATACCTGGTCCTTCTCCCCCTGGAAGGAAAAAGCTCACCTAGCAGGGGAAAACCTCCACATGATCCGTTCAAGTTCCCATCGGAAATCTGAGTGACTGCCCACTCCATTACTCCTCTGTGTCCAACGTTTGTCTACCTGTCCTCTCTCCAACATGTTCACTATTCTCTGGATTAACCTACACAGACTGGATTCAAGGATTGACAAGTTCCCCCCAAACGTGAGTCCCTCACCAGCATAATACTAACAGCATCCAAGATTCCGACGGTACCTGTACTAATCTGTGTAAACTCCCCTTATCACTTCCAGTTCTGGTTCACCAGTTCACTGAGTTCCAGATCCTACCCCTGTCCTCATTACAACTAATAAACCTGTTGAACTTTTCTCCGTGTTTCTTTGCATTTGGGTCAGATTCCGTTAACCAATCATGACACCCACAGCAGCTTTTATAAAACTGAAAGCTCAGAATTTCCAATCTTTGGCTAAATCAATCGCTAAAACAGCTTTGTGCAGCGGGCCTCATTTGAAAAAATGTCTTAAGTAGGATAAAAGCTGTTGGTAAAATTTGATTATTCTTGGAACTGTGACCTAATGGTGATATGAATAACCTAGCTATTAGGTGATGGAAATACATACCTTATAAGTTATCTCTATATCTTGCAAGATATTTTTAATAGTCATATTATAACTTTTAGAAACTGAATAGAAATTTCTCCAGCTACCCGTCTCGAGGAACCCCATATTCAATAACAGTCCAACATGTTTAGCTGCTCCAGAACAGATCCTGCCCTCTAAAAGGTGAAACAGAAGCATGTAGTCGACATCTTCAATGTTTTTCACATAATATAATAATTATAATACAATAAACTTCTGATATTTTAAAGCTGCCATTTAGTGGTGCACCTCTATCTGCAACAACACGATAGTTCTTGCTTCCACTCAACTTTCTGTTGTTAGATCTCATACAGCAGTGTTTATGGAAGAGGATTAGGGCCACTGGAGAAAAAAAAAAAAGTTATCTGATTTTAAATTTTATTTCAGTTTAACATGGGAAGAAATTTTCTTCTCAGAATTCTGACTTTAATCTCAGAATTCTGACTTTTTTCTCAGAATTCTGACTTT